CAGAGTCATTTACCAGCTTGGACGCTGCAGTGGCAAGCACTCTCCATTTGGAGGAGTCCAGAATATACCAAAATTTGTTCTTTTCTTCTGCAGTGTTGAGCTGGGTTACAATAACAGTCAGAGCTGCACCAACTCCTTTTACTCTCAGATAATGGGCCCTGCACTGCCGTATCAGAAATGGATGTGCTATTCAGCTCTTGGATTTATTCAGGTAATATCAATTCAAGCTGATTGCAACCTATTGAAAGGGCAACTGCTGGACACACATTTAAATTACACTATCTGTTGTGACACAGTGATAAATTTAGACTGGCTCCAGGACCAGTGTTTTCTCCATACGTCACTTCACAGCAATGCTCTGTGCCACTGAAAACCTCTTAAATGGCTGTTGTGTCACTTTTCCCCCAAACTTAGCCTTTTGAAGAGCACTGGAAAATCCTAGAGAGGTGAGAGAAAGTGTCGCTAACACTGCCTGGACATGCAGAGCAATTGCTGCTGGCTTATCTTCCACTTTCCCTGCCCCAGTCAGAACTGTCCCCACCATTTTCCTGTAAACACACACACACACAATAAAAAGTAACAAAACCAAAATAAGGGCACAAAATTCGCTACAAAAACAATACCTACAGAAACTGTAGATTGTTTGCAAGGCTGCCCATTTAATAAAGTGAGCACCAGAGGCTCAGAGAGCTCCTTGCTGTGGATTTGCAAGGTGTTGCTTCTTCCCCATCTGTGCAGTAGACAGCTGACATCACATGGGTGATTTTGGGGAGGCAGTGTGCTGAATTTTCACCCTTCTGTGACTCAGGTATGAACACCCTGGAAAATTAATTTATCCTTAAACATTTGTCCCCAAAGGCAAATTGTTTTCCCCCTGTGAAGCTCACCAGAACACCACGTAAATGAATGTTCTCTATTATGAGGGCAACTAACCCCATTTAAAAAAAATAAATAAACCAACACAAAACCTGCACCTTACATTTCCTAAATGTGTTTTCACATATGCTACTGCTCTGCATGTTTAAGCAGCAAATAAATCAGTTCCTCACACTAAGGTTTCAATGCAGGAATACACTAATAGGGAATTTAATCCATTTGTGGTCTGTGCAATCAAAAATGTGTAAGAAAAGCTGCAATTTCTTGATTCCCCAGGTTTGCTCCTCTTGGGAGCCAGCAAAACACAGCAGTGACAAATGTGGCAGTCAGGAATGCCAGGATGCTATCTGGCAGTATTTTGTGAGCAAGGCAAACACAGACACTTCTGCTTGCTCCTTTATCAGTCTGACCAGCTCAAAAATCACATATGTACAGGAGAAAAGAGAATCACCTGGTGAAACATTCTGTCTCACACCAGCTCAGAGGTGGACAAAACTCACAGCACACCCTATGAGACGTTTTGGATGATAGCTGGATGTCATTTTGCCTTTCACACTGGAAGTTCACAGGGGATTTTCACTATAAAGATTTCTGATATCTGCACACTGCTGGTGCAAGAGAACATGTATGTCCATGCTGTGCCCACAAAACCAGACACACAGAAATTACAATAACACACAGCAAATAAGGAAACATATAATTTCAGCTTGCACTGAAAATATATTTAGTAACAGAGTACTAGATGGGAAAATCTTCCTTGGAGCAGAGTAGATGAAAGGTTCATGCAGTGATGCATAAGAGATAAGGACAGTTATTGCCTGTTTTCCATAAAACCAGGGTCCTTGTTCTGACACTATCACCTCAGCCAACCTTTCCTGCCAGCTGGTAGAGCACTTAACCCCAGGGTGGTTTCCCAACAAAGAGGGGAGGAATAACAAACACAGAATATTTTGTAGGAGGTGCAGTGCAGTAGGGGAATGAGACCCACCCACACTGAGGCTTTTCTCAGCTGTGATTTGTCTGTGGAAGGTAAAGAAAGCAGATGAGCCATCCCTGCCATGCTACATCTCCTGCAGCAGCCCTGAGGAGTGGCCTCTCCATGCTCTCACAAAAAAAAAAGTTGATTTTTATCCAGAGGTCATACCCTGATGGCCTCAGGTCAATTTCTGTGAGAAATTACAGAGTTACTCTGTGCTTCCCTGGTAAAAAATTATGATAATTCTAGGATCCAGCCTCAGACATGGCCAGGAGCAGCAGCTTTCTGCCCAGAAGAGATCAGAGAGTGGTTCTGGGCTGGGATCAGCCATGCCATGGGCAGATGAAGGGAACAGCCATGCCAGGAGCAGATGAAGAGATCAGAGAG